CCCCAAAACCCCAAAACCCCAAAACCCCAAAACCCCAAAAATTTTCAAAAAATTATCAATATTTAGTATAAATTTTAAGAATTTTCAGGAGAAAATCCTTTATAGGGGTTAACGATTTTTGCGATTTTTAGGAAAAGCCGACTTTTTAGGCATCTGGATGTATTTTAGGGCAGATTTAGGGATCTTTTTGGGAGGAGATGGGGTCTTCCGGGTGTGCTGGTTTATAGGACTTGAAGAAAAATCAAACCGCACTGATTTATTTACACTTGGACCTAGATGAAATATCAGAGAGAAAGTACTCAGTGTCATAGCTGTAGAATATATCGTCCTCTGTTGATGACTCTTTGAGTAATTCCCTTGGTCTTGGAATTAAGTTTTCTTTAGGGATTCTTAACTATAAAATTACAAGTCTGAATGATATCTAACATGTTCAATTTTACATACAGAATTAGATAATTACCTAGAGGTTGATATTTACCAACAATTTTCTCAAATATATTCGAACCATTAGCCTCATCCTTGTTGTACTTATTTGATTTTCCTAGGATTCTTATGGATGTTCTCATTTAGCTTATCCATGATCTTCTCAAAGAATCTGGGAGATTGGAATTCACTTCTAATTATTATGAGTCCCTCTTTGCTTCTTCCTTCTCTGGATTGGCTCTAAATATCCATGAATGACATAAGACAATGAGTTACTTACTATGAATATGGGAGCTTAAATCCTTAGAATCCTCATAACTTTCATTCCGTGTTTTCAACAAGTTATGTGTACTGAACTCACTGGAGACAATCTGGGATCATTTCTGGCTACCTAGCTTCCTCCTCCTCTTGGGCTTTGGACTATCCGGAGTAAGGAGATTCTCAGCACTTGTCACAAACTTCAAGTTTAGCTTTACTTTTGAAAGCGATTTCGAATGCATCCGTGAAGCATGAGAATGGCTTAGGTTAAACTTCACGTATGAATCATTGGATATTCTGCTTCTATTATGCTTTTTGAACATATAATAAACATTAAGGCGATGTTGGTCTATATGAATCATCTTTTTTCTGTCATACTCCTCATTTCTCCCCTTCTTACTACTAACCCAGCTCTTAGGTCCCCTGGTTACTTTCTTAACTGGTTCTATAAACCATGATTCACATTATGCAACATCTCAGTCGTAGATAAGAAATATTAAAATTCTGGCTGTAGAACAAGCAAGTTTTTAGGGTTTGGAAAATTTAATTTTGGTAAAGATTTATTAAGGATTGTTACCAAGGAAATTTTAAGTGAGATTTTGAGGGTTTAAAGGGTATTGGAAGAGTTTGGAGTGGGCTTGTTTGAAAGAAGGCCAGGATGTTGGTGTGAAGGTGAAAGTAGGGATTTGGAAGTTAATTAGTGATGCTGTTTGGATGCTGGGAGGGTTGAAGGGACTAGATAGAGAAATAGAGTTGATTATAAAATTTATTTGAGGTAAAAAGAGTTGTATCTAAAAATATTTGTTGTTTTTAATATATCAATAAGTCATTAAAAACTACACTTAATAAAACTAATTATCAGAAATTAAAATTCCCGAAAATGCTTTTATCAAATATTTACCTCCCAAAACTTCTATATCTACAATCTATCTCTCTTTAGGCCCTTACAACCAACAAGAGCCAACTAATCCCTCAAAACGACCCCTATTATCCCCCAAAATCCCATAACTCTTCTCCACTAATTCCAGCTCAAAGCCCCATAAATCCCCTAAAACCCACCTCTTAAATTTCCCATTTCCTTCATCCCCCAAAAATTCCCACTGGCTTATCAACTTTAAAGGAAATTTTCCAGCTAAAATCCCTTCAGTCTCCCAAAATTCCTGCTGCACAAGAAGTAGCTTAGCTGGGAACTCTCAGGCTACGCTTACGCTCATGGCCCAGATTATTGAGCAAAAAGACTTTAAGAAGGAGGGACTGCAGAAGTGGGGGAATATTGATGAAGGACTTACCTTGATTATCATCAGAGTTAACGTACAGGCCTGGGGCCTTTCGAAGCCTCTTCTTGATGCCGATGGAAGATCGCCTGCAGTTTTTGGGCTTAAAGAGTTTTTTAAACACAGAAAGTTTAGTAAGCCTCCTCTTTTTCAATTGAGCATCCATTTTAAGAAAATTAGTAAATAAATTTATTTCAATGTGAAGTTGAAAGCAGGGGTTTTGGGGTTTTGGGGTTTTGGGGTTTTGGGG